ATAAATAATATTCAAGGCCGTCTTTGAGAAATGAGGGGCCCTATACGACAGGTAGAAAATGGGCCATTGTGTTATACTAAAATAAAGTCTATTCATTAATTTATTTAACAATAATTAACATTATATTAATAAAAATAATGTCGAGACCCTACTGTAGTAAGATTCAACTAGGTTGTTGTTGTATATTAATAAGAATAAAGAAATATCGAATTCATATTCTTCAAAATCAAAGGAAACTTCATTGCTTTGATTTTGGTCCGTAGGAGGCGGTTGAGAGGTTTGGGAATCTTTTTACTGTTAGAAAAAGCGTGCAACTCTAGAGAGGGGGTGAATAGAGTTGTTGAGAATGATTACCGATTTTCGCAGGATTAATAATATAAACGTAAGTGCAGCGGAAATAAAAGAGAGAAGGCAAAGAACACACCGATGTATACTGGTTCACCACCTCGTGGCTAGTCCAGTTCCCCAAGAGACTTTCTCAAAGCTACCACTACTTTCGTTAAGCTTACGGGTTCTTAACAAACCGTTTACAACTCGAGAACTTGAATCCCACAAGCCTCGACACAACCGCTCATAGATATGCCCTCTACAAGACTTCACAACCAAGACTTAAATCACATAAGCCTTGAACAACAAGAAGAACAATCTTCTTCAACCTCTCAGCAATAACTCTCACAAGAGTAGAAATGAGAAAAGATTAAGCTCTATGGATGACAATAACACTCTCTTGAAAACACTTAGTTTTCTCTCAAAATATATCAATTTGAGGAAGAAATGAATGGAGGATTATTGGAGTATTGGAGTATTTCTTATCTTATAAAAATGACCAAGGAGTGAAGTTTATAAAGGGGTTGAAGGAATATATCCGTTGGTCCAAGAAAAGAAGCTGGGATGAAAAATGCAGCATAATAATCGATTAATGCAGTGCCAATAATCGATTAATGCAGTCTGCGCAAAAAGATAATCGATTAAACCAAAGCTATTAATCGATTAGAATGGTCTGAGTAAACTAATCGATTAACGGGAAGAAAAAAATCGATTATATCAAAGAAGCTCAACACGAAGTAAAACTCAATTAATCGATTAATAAAGAGAATTTAATCGATTAATCTAAACAAAAACTGGGTAAATCGATTAATGTGAGAATATTAATCGATTAGATTTGAAATGATGCACAAACACAAGGGCCCCAGCCAGTTGCGAGATGAGAAGTAAAAAAATGTCTTAACGCGATTGTTTCAGACAAGAGGAATGAGAGACGCTCCTCAAACAAAACCTCTCCTATTCAAAGTATTTGAATAAGGGAGTAAAAAGTGAGTCCAAAAATTATTTTGTGTGTCAAATGATGTACACGAAAAATATTTGAATAAAATATTTTTGCCTACCAAAAATATTTTATAATATCAAAATAAATATTTGATAAATGTTTGACACACTTTTTGTAACTGACTCAATAAAACTATTTTGAACAGTTAAAAAGATTTTTCAACTGACTCCAAAAGTAAATATAATTTTTATTTTGACTCTCATAAAAATAATTTTGGAGAGAAGATATTTTTGTCATCCTTACAATAATTCCTAAGACTCAAATAAATAAAAAGTCTTCGGAAATCTTCTACACCTCCGAGTCCTCCGTTAGGCGCTTCGAACGCGTCTCGGACTCCGATAAAATCATGTGCACCTTCTTGAGTACTTCAAGGAATGGCACTTCAAGTCTTCGTGTTTGTCGTTGTAGCACTTTGATCTTGACTTGAATAGATTGTGTTTGTCAATTATCAAAACCTGTGAGTCAACACTTAACAACACAGAAAGGGTTGAACTCATGCATTCCAACAATTTCCCCCTTTTCATCAAATATATTTATTATTAATAATTACCTAGCCAATATAAATTTTAAAATTTTCTATAATTCATGTATAATAGTTTAATTCACTCACCTCTTTTAAAAAAAATCAATACTCTTTTAATGAATCAATATGATGGGTTTATTAATTATGCAACAATATCTCTATTATGCTTTCTATATAAAGGTGGTGACTGGTTATTTTATTTTAAACATTAAAAAAGAGTTCAATGTTTTTTTAAATTTTTTGTACAAAAAAAATTTTTCTTGATGTTTTATCTGGGCCGGGCGGCCCGGTGGGCAGTCTGGCCCGCAAAGATGGGCGGGTATGGGTAAAGAATCTAGCCCATCATATCCGGAAAACGTTTTCTGATTGGATAGTAAAAGTCAAAGATGGAAAACTTAGACAAGTTATCGATGGAACTGCTGACATTGAAATTAAAATCCTTCTGAATTCTTGATTCTTGAAATAAGTTATCCCTTCAAGAGTTATAGTGGACTTCACTTATCCGAACCTATTAGAGAACATGAATTTTTTTTAGGATAGTGCACTATTAGCACCCGTACTCAAGTTTGTTGAATGGTAATGAATTTTTCATATCCCTTATGCAAAGTCGATTTAAATGTAGCTGTTGAAGACGATTGGATAACACTTCAGTTTTTTTTAATTAAATCAAAAATTCGGGGATCCTAAACCACAAAATAGTTTTAAAAAGGGGGTACTCACCATGTCATTGAAGACATTGACTAAATATCTAGATTGTGTAATGATAGAAGATTAATCGTTTAGAAGTTGAGAAAGAACATTATCACTTCAATTGAGGTTTTAGAAATTCAATTGAGAAAAAGATTTACATACCCCGAATGAATTTGGTACCATCTGATTCAGAACTACCTAAGAAATTCTAGAGAAAATAATTCTCAATAGTTTTACTCCCTCGGTCCCATAAAGATAGATACGTTTTGACTAAAGTAGAAATTAAAAGAGGGATAATTTTGTGTTGACTTTTGAAAAATACCCTTGATGTGATGTGTAGATTAGTAGGAAAAAGGTATGATGTGATAGGTAGTATTTGAAAAAGTAAGGGGTAAAAGTGGTTTTTTAATAGAAATGGGTAAAGGATTGTGGGACGCAATTTTTTTAAAACGTGTAAATCTTTTTGGGACGGAGGGAGTATATTTTACTATGACTATTGCCAAAAGCTAAGGTCAAACATTATCTTTTGTTGTATTATTTTTAACCAATTTAGTATTTAGTCATGGTTAGCTTTATGTTACTTTTTTACGAATGAAGGCAAAGACATGATTAAAAATATTGGTTCTAGATAACAATGGAAACATTTACAACCATACCAAAAACGTTGTGCACCCTAAAGTCTTTCAAAAAATTGGAATTAAATAAGGTTTTTTCGAGTACACTTTCATTTCCTCAAATATGATTTATTCTACTTTTGTCGTTGTTGTGCATTGATTAAAAATCGTGTTAGAAATATATTTACTTGATTCCGGAGAATATATTACACTGAAAAAAATCGAAATCGACAAAAATTTTGTTTAACCCCATGCGTCGCACTGATCAAAATACTAGTAATAATAATAATAGAACTCTATGAAAATTGAAAAGTTACATGTTTTTTATGTGACTTATAAATAAGGGTTTGAATCCGCCATATATTACTTTGGTCCAAAAGAATTTATTCAATTTTAACTTTTCATACTCAACTAGAATTGATATTTGACTTATAATTAAATAAAAATTACTCAGTATATTGACTAGATAAAAATATTTTACAAGATAAGTCTAGTAGTATTATTCCTATATCAATATCGGATATAAATGTTATTTAATCAATTGCCAAAGTTTATCATTTTTTACTGCAAAATGTTAAACTAAACAAATTCTCTCAACAGAAAGTTATACTCCCTTCCTCCCAAATTAAATTGTATGTTTATTATTTACAACATCAATTTTCATTTTTCTCTATTTTTATTAATTATTTGATAAAATATATGTCACCTCTCATTAAGTGAAATCTTTAGTGTTATTTTTAAATATGTAAATTTTATTTTTTGAAAATACCCCAATTTTTTAAATAATTTATTTTAAAAATAACTTCTCAAATATCATAAACCATAACAAATCATTCAAATTAAGACGGATAAAATACCAAAAAGAGTTACTCCCTCCGTCCTAAAACTTTCTTTTTGTTGCGCAAAACGAAAAAAAATCCCAAGTTTTTTCAATCTATTTTATTTAAATATTGGTATAAAAATAAAAAATAAAACATACATATTTAAAAACTACATCAAAAGTTCAACAAAACAAGTTGTGACAAGAATATTTTATTTTATCATATAGGCCATGAAAAAACACAAATAAATATAAATTCCCGTGAAGTTGGAATACTGCTCTGGAAAGAAAATTTTAGGACGGAGAGAGTATAAATGACTTTCATCCATCTACGAATAGATAGTGGTGGCAGAGGACTGAATGCTCGGATAGCAGTTCAAATTTGGTTCTTGACAAACAAATTTTTTACTCTTCTTTCTTAAGTTTAAAAAAAAAAAAGATGAAACCAGCGAGAGGCTCTAGATTTAGTTTTGATCATAAATTAGCGACAAAGATGGTAAAAACACCTGGCACTTGAAAGGCTCAAAATATTAACATATACTACCTCCGTCCCATTTTATAACGTCTGTTTCAGTTTACGATGTTTGACTGAAATCATTTTCAAACCAATTTATATGACAAATGGTATAGAATTAAAAAATAAAAATTATATATTAAAAAACTACATCAAAAGATCTACAAAACTAGTAGTGACAATAATATTTTATTTTATCAAATTACTAACCAAAATAGAGAAAGAAAGTGAATAAAGTTTAACCATGTGAATAGTAAACAAGCATTATAATTTGAGACGGGGGAGTATCTTTCAGTGTAGTCACTAGAAATCAAACTCAAATATTACATCAAAATATCTCTTTTCTTAGCACTACAACCATGAGGGCCTTGATATTAAATTCCTCCTTGATTGGATTCATAAACGACCATCTTTTTATTCAATGGCTCTAAAATGTTGAGTCTTTTATTTAATAATGTAAACTTTGGACAAATATTTGCGTTCGAGCCGGGATCAGGCTTTGGGAAACAAGCCCAAAACCCGATCGTTTATTAAACGAAAGGTTTCCACGCATTGTTACCAAACACAAAACTCAACCCTTATCTTTGTGCCTTGCAAGCCCTCCCAAAAATGACAGCTTTCGGGCTTTCACCCCCTACTCACAAGTCACAACTATCAGCATTTGGTACAATGCTTACTCAATTCAAATTACTCCTATAACACCCATTCAGCCAGCATGGTACCAAGAGTACTCAAAATGCCTAAGCTCATCATGATCCGGTTTCGGAACAAATTAATGCCCACCAAAAACAACCTATGATGTTCGCAAAAGTACACATCCAAACTAGCCTTCAAAGAAAAAGGGAAACCACAGTGCTATGAAATAAACTCCTTCAGTTACTATTAAATCTCACACAACTAACAGAGGACTTGACATTTCCACTTACCGAAAGAGTCTGGTTCAACACAGACGGCAATTGAAGGCTTCAATAGCGGTCAGCAAAGGAGGGAGACTGACCGCCCCTTCTAGGGCGGTCATAAGGTCCTGCCCGGCTGTCCCTGTAGCTTCTGCCCCCCTCATAACGCGCTGGCCCACCTGCTCCAGCTGCATATCTGTCGCTGCTCACTCTTCCACCCCCTCCTCCATCACGGCCATACACCACCCTCTCTTTCCCATAGCTTCCATTCAAAGCGAAACGGTCTGCGCCTCCATATCTATTGCCTGCAAACCGGTCTCCAATAGCAGCATACCTGATCATTATATTATACAGAGTTATTTCAAAGCTTAAATAGTGCCTTAAGAATTTCTCCATACATCCCCCCAATAAGTGCCTATATATGGATCTTTTAAAGTGTACTAATTGGAAATTGATATCCCACAAAATGTATTTTGTATTATTAGAAGAAAAGAAGTGACCATTCATATACTTGATGCATCTTAAATACTCCGTATAATTCAAAAAAAAAAAGTATCATTAAAGAAAGAAAATGCTAAATCTGGCTTAACCAACAAATAAACTTAATAGTTGTATCTTTCTGAACAAAAATTTTAAATTTTTGGTCCCATGACTATTTATGTCACTCTCCTTTGGTGGCCCCAATTTTCCTTTTTCAATCTACTTTTTGTGCATGACAATGAACTTCTTGCCACTCTGATTCTTATGATCGCTTAACACAGACCCATTTCAATATAATGTATAGTTTCTTTTTTGCAAGATATTTTAACAGAACTGAAAAGAGCAAGTTCATGTTACTGGTAAAAAGTGGTTTTAAAAAGTAAGGAATCAAAAGTGAAATGACCTAATAGTGGTGAGACCAAAAGTGAAAATTTCAGATGATAAATTTTAAAAACTGCACCTGCATAAAACAAGACATTTTTCGGAACTTAGGTAGTACAACCTTTTACAGAAAAAATCATTGACATTCTCACTTCTCACAAAAGCGTACCTGTCACTAACATACCGATCACGGTTCCCATAGCGGTCGTCTCTACTATCCAGACGATCTCCCCTGTCGCTATAGTGACCTCTATCATAGCGATCTTCCACGTATCTATCACGGTGATCACTGCCAAAGCGATCACCACGACCACCAAACCTGGACCGTGGGGGAGGTGTCAATGGGCGGCCACCTCGACCACCACCACCTTCTAATGGGCAGTCTCGGGCCCAGTGGCCTGGACGACCACACCTGAAACAAGTATCCTGCCCTGAAGACCTATCCAGCCCCCCATAGCTTCCCCCCCTACCGCCAGACGACATTGGAGGTGGTGACATCGACAGGGAAGGTGGTGGTCTTCTCATGGGAAGCGGTATCGGTGGTACCAGGTGTGGTAGAGGGGGGTAGGATCCAACCCGGAACAATTGACTCTAGTAGGCGGGTGGGTTGAGTGATGGTAAGTATAGAGAATAACGTAAGAGGTAACGGGACGCCAGTGATTTACAATTTTTAGGTTACCCACGAGGACGGTGTGTGTCTCTTTCCAGCATTACCTGTGAGGCTCTGATGCATCAGTAAATGATAACAAAAAGCAACACAGAAGAAGCAATGTATTCACAAGGACACCATTTTTTAACCAAAAGGAGAAAAAAATAGTATGCAAGGCCCCCAGGTCATGCGCACTCTCTGGGAAAGGAAAAGGTATGCACATTAAAGACCCACCCCTCTTCATAAAGCTTAGCTCCAGGAGCTAACCCTAGTTTTAAACAATCAATTAGTGGATGTTTGGCTCTTGCATCATATCAGCCTTCTAGTGATGTCTGAATGGAAGATGGTATTTTCCTTATTTGAGTTTCTTGGAAACAAATAAGCAACCCCCTAATAGCAATAGTAAAAATGAAGTACAAAGTTTACATGGTTTTAAATTTTTATCCAAATTGTTAAAATTTCGAGTAGTCCAAATACGTGGTAAAAAATAGTTGAAAATTATTTATATTATTTTCCAAAATTATGTAGTAGATCATTAAACCTTGAAAATATGTGTGTACCTTCATGCAAAGCCAACTTAATCTTCAGGACACATCAAGCTATTGAAAAGTTCATGCTAATATTGACAAAGCACTAATGTGTTGGTTGTTTAAAGATAGGATAGGGAAAGAGGAATGAGGCATTAATGTGTGTCTTTTTTTTAAAACAGGAAAATTTGTACAGAATAATCCAACCTTTTAAAAGCCAATAATAATCCCACCTTTAATTTTTGCAAAAAAGTAATCTCACCTTTCAAAATAGTTACGCAAAATGCATCCAAGTTAACTCCATTGGATTAACATTAACAGCGGGGCTGCGGGGTGCATTCCTGGCAGGAGCTCTAAAAGGTGAGATTATTCAGTGCCTATCCTAATGGTCCAATTGTAATCAACAACCCGACAAAAGGTCAGATTATTGTGCACGACTGCACAAAGTTTTCATTTTTCAAGTACCATATTCAGATCATTTTAAATAAAAAACTGTTTTTTATTGAACATTATTCAATTATTATTGCATTTTTTCTCTAGTCTCCACCTTATAAAACTCTAAGAATGGAGAAAGAATGCAAATCTCATTGAATTTGTGTTTATTTAGATTGATCTTGATATAGTAATTGAATAATGAAAAATTTACGCACAATGATCTGACCTTTTACCACAATGTTAACTATAATTTGACTTATAATATAGGCACTAAATAATCCCACTTTAAGAGTTGTTGCACGAAATGAACCCCGCCGTTACTGCTAAACTAAAAGCATTTTGTGCTACTTTGAAAGGTTGAATTAATCCTTGCAAATACTAAAGGGGAGATTACTAAGCAGCCTGTTAAAAGGAGGGTCAGTTTATTCTATGGAAATTTTCCTAAAAAAACATATAAATTTCTGTCCTTTCTCATTCATTTCAGTCTACTTTTAGTTGTTTTAACCTGCTGTGCTCTTTTCCTCACAACCTTGATCTCACACTTCTTTCTCCTAAAACTCTCTCAAACTTCAAAAAAACAAATGTTTTGTCGAGAGTACTTATAGAAAACTCAGAAGCAAGAGCAAGAAAAGTATAAGTGATTTTTTTTGTTTTTTGGAAGACAATGAAATAAGAAAAGGAGAAGTGAAATTAAAGCAAAGTGTATACATGTCATTTTGTTGGAAAATATTGTAATCACACTAATAACTAAAAATTAGGGGGTGAGAATTGTTATTAAAAATCACTGAGATGTGGACTTGCAAAAATTCAATGAAATGTGTTTCCCAAGTGGACATGAAGTAAAAGCATAATCTTAGACTAAAGAAACGTATAATAAAAATGAACAAAGCACCTTAACATACATTACATGCAGTTACAAAATAATTTCTTTAGGGTGTTTTGGTTAAAGAGGAGAGGACGTGGTGTGTTTCTTTACATGTTACGTTGTTTGTTGAAGGGGACTGTTTTTGTGTTTGCTTGGAGAAATTTGGGGGAAAGGGAACCCACACTTAATTTTGTGAACAAAATGAGTTGAAGGAAGCATTTTCCCTCCTCTTAAATCCCTTCCAGCCAAACACACCTTAATGAAAAAAATATGTGGCAACGGAACAGAGAGGAAGAAAAGTAATGCATCACTCTTAGAAAGATATTGTGATGTCAGAATTGCTTTGTTTGTGAATGATAACGCAAGTGATGTAATTTTAAAATTTTACTTGTATTGGACTATCCAGAGAATGAATACTTATTTCATCCCAATATTACATATAAAGCAAAGACAAAATTACACATATCATATGTAAAGGGAAACCAATGCACACCAATGAATCACAATGGATGAACCATAATGCAACAATTTGAGAAAGACAATGATATGTTGATTACTTATTGATGACAAGCATGCAATATGCCAAAGGAACTCTTACTTGATGAGATGGATATGTAGTACTACACTACTACAATTTTCCATTATTTGAGGTGCTAAGACAATTACATTGCCTCAGCTCTTGTTCTGTGCGATCAAACAATCAACAACAAAAATCAAACCACAAAAATGAAGACTTTCTCTCTCCGTAAGTGATTCCACACCACTTTAACTGGATGCAGAACGTCAGTGATATTTTCAACTTCATAAGAATTTCTTAATGGACAAAAAGGCATAGAAAAACAGTAGGCTTCAGTTGGTCAAACATGCTGGCCCGTAGAATAATGCAGCACAGAGAAAGTCACTATTAAGATATTTCCCAAGAAGCTTACATCACTGTTTCAATCAATTGCCCCATAACTTGCCCCTATCTGATTAACTACACCACTGCCGTGCCAACTAATCCTTGCAAGAGGCAATTACCAACTACAGACCATCAACTAATTCACTTTAACTATACATGTCAACTGCATACTGGCCACCTCTCATTAGTCACCAAGGCCAAAGGAAACAACTTCAAGCCAAAACAGAACCAGCTGGAAAAAGCTAAGCGCTGATGGTAACTGGAGCAGGCAGAAATGGTGAACAGTCAGACTAGCCCCACACATGAAAGATCAGATGGGATGATGCCAGTGAATCTATAACAGGCAAAGCAGTCCGGAGATAAACTTATCCCAAAAGCAGATGCATCCTCAAATTAAATTTCAAACATGAGCCTTTCAGTGCATGTTCAAGCCAGCTGATCTTAAGAGTTACATGTTATAACCTTAGCAACAAAGAAAGCACCACAAAAAAAAAATATAACACCAACTATAACCCCATACTGGTCCGCGGTTCTGCTAATGAAATGAAGGAACTATCTAAATCGGACAAAGCGAACCCAAGAAAGAAGTCGTTTACTAGTTCATGGGCAGCAACAGTGGCAACAGTGGCTATCAAATTGCTCAAGACATAAAGAATCTAGCATGACTAACTCCATCGTATTCTTCAGCATGCTTGATGCAAACTCAGATAGTCACCAATCCCACATGGCTTCACAACTGGGTTACGGCTCTGTTCATAGGACACACATACGACACGACTGAAATGGAACATTAGCTTAATGGTTTCTAAACTCAAAAACATGAGATGGTACCAGATGCGGTTCTATCAAATCAGAATGATTGGATACGAGACCTAAATGTTTTCTCACAGCAGACTATCTATCAAAACAAATATCCTCACAACTCTAAAAGTGAAGAAACACCTTGATCTCACGAGCATAGGATCTGGGACAGAGCATGATAATTACAAGCATGGGAGCTACTAGGGGCCTTATGGTGAAAATCCCATGGTGGAAAGTCAAAGCAAAATTGAGGAACTCCAATTAGAACTTCCAAAACAACATATCACACTTCATAATCCATTGCATTGTAGAGAGTGGCGCCTTACGTTGATCGAAGCTCAACAATATAATGCATCCACACACACAAAACCACGTAAAATACTGAAGAATATTCAACTAGAAGCTTCTGCATGTTGCACCCATTAGCTCCTTTGAGCAATTGTCTATAAACTTGGTTAAATTTAAGTCATCTGTTAGTAGTGTACAAATTGAGAAGGCTCCATGTTTGTCCATTAAACATTATTAAATCTTAATAGGACTTCTGAAATCAGGAGTATGGAACTGCAAACAGTTGCTGAGAACTAGTTCACTAATAAGCAAACCTCTCTCTTCTCCTTGTGTGAAAGGTCTCGTGTTTATAACGTGAAAAATGTAGCCTTGTTACACATCAGCATTGTTTGCTAGTAAAACGACACAGCTTGGGACTAAATTAACGATGAAAGACAATCTGTTCTATATGCTCATACTTCTATATCCTCATGTTTTATAGGTCAACATATGGAATGTGATGACAGCATCTCGTATTGCATCCTCGTCCGCATTTTTGTTACTCAAGAAAGCATCGTATGTCGGACGTAAAGGGTATATGAGTAGCCTCACTGTGTACAATTAGCTATTGAACTGATTCAAGGCAGCTATTCAGAAAACGTTGAACCAAGTAACCAACACATGTCCATAAACCACCTGCCCCAAATTAACCCACAAAATTGATGCAAGAAGTCTTGCACGTTAGCATGCATTTGATTAGATAATGTCTTCCCATGAACCACTCTAGTAATTCAACAAATACAAACAATCGGCTGAACAGAACAAAGCAACACAAACAACACTGCACTCTTTTAACGATGCGCATTCCATTGAACCACATCCTCAGAATGTTCCATCTATAATATACCAAAGATCCAAGCAAAATCAGATTCCAAAAGGAAAAACCAAGATGAAAATTAACAATATCAAGGTAGAAGGAGAAAAAAGACTGAGCATATCTTAAATATTTTCTGGTTTCCGACTGCCATTTTAATATTAAGACACTGAGAAATTCAAGATCTTGGACATAAAAAATCAAGTTTCAACTTCTAAGTTCAATGGAGCAAGGGAAACACAATGTGCATTTTGTGCAATATAAGCATAATTGATGAAAAGAAGAAAAGGAAGTAATTAACCTCAGAAGGTTGCAGTTTTCAATCGTAGGTCTATGCCGAAAATAAATAACACATACTCCCTCCTTCCCTATATTAATACCCAGTTTGACTGGGCAAGCGGGCACAGAGTTTAAAGAAAAAAATGATTCAACTTCAAAGCCCAGAGAAACCTGACCTGAAGGTCATGCCTTACCAAACCTATGAAATTTTTGTGTCATGAATTATATTTAAGACTAAAAGGTACACTCAGTGTATAAAACATTATTATAATAATATTAAAAAATAATAATAATATTAATAATAATTATAATAACAAAAAGACTTACCCTACACCACCAGATGACAGGGTTAAACAAAATCATTCCAAATCTTTACTTTGTTACCAATACCATCCAACTGGCCGGCAATAACTTTCAGTTTCTCCCATATACACATACTTAACACGGCAGAATTTCAGCACAAAATCAACAACAGAAAAGCTTAATCCGAAGTAAAACACACACCTGACTGTCGACGACTTTCCCGAAACGGCTAAAAGCATCTTCGAGCTGACGCTCGGTGATGTCCCACGACAGCCCACCGATGAATATGCGATACTCCTGATCCTTCCCCGACATCCTTGGCTCTCTAATTACGAATTCCAAACAGTTTTGCAAATAAAAGAGGTGACGAAACCTGAGATTTGAACAGATGAACCCTACAAAGTTATAACAGAGAAGCAGAAAACTAGAAAGGAACATATTCACAAACTCAAAACATCACACCTACACACTGGATCCTGCGCTGTAGACTCCTAACGTCTTCCCCAGATAGCAACTTGGCAAGTAGTCTGGGATCTCAGAGATTATATTATGCTAAAAGTTCAGACGCTAAAAAACCCTAGAAGACATTATAGGAGTTTTTCAAGAGGTACACCACCAAAAGTAAACTGTACTCCAAAGTTGTACCATTATACTCTAAACAAATGCATCTATGTTTTAATGATTCATGCGGGTAGAAAATGTTGGTTCTATTAAAAAATTGCACTGACATTTTTTGTCAAAGTAATTCATCACACTGGCACAAAATGTCAGTGCATGCTTTTGGAGTACAATGGGATGGATGTAGTATTTTTTTCCTCCGCACATTATACCAAAATATCTCGATATATACTGTACAACCGGTTGTATGGTGTTTCTCATACATACACATCGAATATTCAATTACGAGTAACTGAATACTCATTTTTTAGTAAACGAATATTCAATTTTGAGTGACTATATACTCTCACCATCTGAAAATAATCTTCTCAGTCTACCTTTTTTTGTCCGAAAAAAATCTTCTCATTCCACCTTTTCATCTCAATCCTTCCAAAAATCTCCCCCTACTTCGTCTTCTTCTCATCATTAGCCTTCTTCTTTCTCTTTCGTCTTCCCTCATATCTACGCCTTTCTCCCCCTTTCTTCTTGTTCTTGTTCTTCTAGATCTGTGCTAGATCTATGGGGCTTGCGACAATGGTACAGCATACAGCAGCCTTGGGAGCTGGATCCAGTACATTTGTACTAGATCCTTTTCATTTCGTTTTCTTCCCTTATATTTTCTCTTCCCTAATAATGGTGAGGGCTGAAAAAGATGGTGAGGGTAGGGACGGCGATGATGCAGTTGTCAATGGTGGGCGGGGGGGCAGAAGTGGGCTGGGGCAGCGATGACAAAGCAAAAGTAGGGCGGCATGTGTGGATGTCAAACTAGTGGATTTACTCCGATGGATTTATAAATATTGTCTTAAATGTTTTAAATTGTTTTGAAAATTATTGTGTATGGATGCCAGACTAGTGGAAACCTGATCTGTTATTCTATGTATTCAAGTTACGCGGATGAGGGTGTTACATTTTGGTATCAGAGCATGTGGTTTTAAAATCAGTCTCTAGACCCTTTCAAAAAGAAAAATTTAAAAAAGAAACCAGTTGTTTTAAAAAATGAAAATGACGATTGTAAAAAATTAAAAAAAAAGTACTTAGCTGCTGCATCCATGGGCGGATCCATGTTTAAAGGAATGGGGGCACTAGCCCCCCGTGACTTTAAGAAAAAAATTTATTAGTACATTAACTATCCTTATTTTTCTAAAGAAATAAAAGTGGCGCCCCCCATAAAAAAGTTGGCTGCCCCCCAATACCTTCAATCCTTCCTGGCCACTTCGGTAAATGCAAAAAAAAACTTTTCAAAAAACAAAAAAAATTGTATTCTTATTTCATACGGTACATTACTATGATATAACTTTGTAATATATTATCCTTGTTTACTTCTCAAAAAAAATTCTCTATGTATTAGTACACCAAATTGTACCCTACTTACACCACATATTTTTATTTATTATCATTTTTTATCTACACCAAGAAATTTAGTACTTCCTCCATCTCACAAAAAAATTCTCTGTGAAAAAAGTACATTTTAAAAATGTATTATTCTAGTACTATGTATTATTTTCTAATTCGATCTACTGTTATTTTATAATATGATAGGATCTGTATAGAGTATGTAGAGGGAGTAGATTATGCTGAGTTTGAGACAATAAGATTATGTATTTGGCTTTTGTGGGAATAATACAACCGCACATTTGTTAAAAAATAGGGTATGATGTTTTATATAAAGATTAGAAAATAATATCAAAGATACATTTTTAAAGTCCATTTTTTCAAACAAGAAATGTTTTTGTGGGACAGAAGGAGAGTAGGTTTTTCTTCAAGGTCACCACGAGTGGTTTGAATTTCTGGATCCGCCACTGGCTGCATCCCCATCTCTCTCAACTCCTCTGCTCCAGGAAGGTAAAATAAATTTTATTGTTTGTTGTTGTGTGTTAATCTCTGATTAGGAAAATATGTTTAGTGGTTTGACTCGACAAAGTTAATTGATGAGGAATTTACTTAAATAGCACTAAAACATAATGACTTTCTCTAAATAGCACCACATGTGTTTTGCTTCCCAATATAGCACTTTTAGTCATTATGCATTAGTCATTATTCAAGTAAATATTGGTCATCACTGGACATTATGGACATTATCAAGTGCTATTTAGGGAATAAAATAATTTAAGTACTATTTAGGGAAATGACCTAAAATTATCAAATATTTCTTAATTGATTTACATGTTGTCTTTGTGTGTTTATTTGTGTAAGTTATGTGTGCATGCATTTAAGGAAGGTGGAAATAGCAGCACAACACATATGAAAGGTGTGGGTGGAAGGGGGGGACGTGACAAGTTTGAGAGGATTAGGGAGGCATCGACATTGCAAAGGCGAGGCAAATCTGGGAGGATGGGGTGGCGGTGGCACTGCATTTTGGTGGCGGTGGCGGCATCGATTGTAACAGATTGAAGTGGGTGGAGAAAGGAAAGAAGGGAGATCAGATATAATGGTTTAATGGAGCATTTGTCGACAATGAAGAAGAGAGCATTGATTAAAATACGAGCGCGTGGGGAATGTTTTTAGTTTAAATAATTTAGGCTTTACTTAGGGGATAAAAACATGTTACTCCTATTTTGGAGTCAGAGGTTATGTTTTAGCATGTTCTTTAGGATTGAAAAAATGCTAGATGCTGGAAGAAACTAGAAGAACCCAGAAGGAACTAGAAGAAACTAGAAAAACTAGAAGAACTGGAAGAAACAGGAAGGAATTAGAAGAAACTGGAAAAAACTCAAAAAAATTAAATGAAATTGAAAAAGCTAAAAAATGGTAAATTCTAAAAAACTTTAGAAAACTTTTTTTGTGTATATTTATATTATTCTCATTCTAATTTTGGTTGTTCTAAATTATTATTATCATCATCATCATCATTATTATCATTATTTTAATTAGAATCTAAAATTAGCATAACTATCAAAATGTAAAATATTTAAAAGTTATTGTGGCTACGCTTCACATCACTTTATTTATTCAATATTTACCATAAAATAAGATATTTATAATTAAACTTTATACAGTACAAGATTTTGTTTTAAAAACCAATCATGTCATATAATATGATCATTGTGAATCATAAAAAATAGTGAGATAAAAATGAAATAATTTATAAACTACAGTTGTAAACATAATAACTGTAATAATAATAATATATCATTTTTGAAATAATTGGTCGGGAAGTAGAAAGAGTTTGAAGAAAATAAAATTAGTTAGAAGAGACTGGAAGAACTGGGAGAAACTGAAAAAAATGGAACAAACTCGAAGGAACTAGAAAAAACTGGAAGAACGGTAAGAAACTGGAAGAAACTGGAAAGAACGGGAAAGAACTGGAAGAAACTAAAAGTTAAGAGTTCAAGCCCTAAAAAGAGTACTTGAATAATGTTTTGTATCTGGAATAATGTACAATGATGATAAATATTTAGTTTGAGCAATGTCTAGTGGTGCTGGACATTTATTTGAACAATGATTATTGGACATTGAACAATGATACTACAATAGGAAAATAAAACATATGTTACTACATTGGAAAAGTCATTATATTTAGTACTATTTAAGTAAATATCCTTATGTTTTAGTCCTATTAGAGACGATTTCTTTATATTTTATTTAAAGTTTGTTAAAAAATTAAAAAAATTGTGTTTCACATAAATGATATAATGATATAAATCACATAAATATAGTGTTATACATTAAAAATTAATAGATGTAATATATTTGTGCAACTGAATACTCGAGTTTTACCGCTTCGGTCTCTTTACCTTATTTAGACCCATGCACACCAGGGGTGAGCAAATTAACCGGACCGATTGCGAAACCGAAATAACCAAAAGTTTGGTTCCGGTTTCGGTTTCGAATTTCATGTAAAACACATTTTCGTTTTTTCGGTTTTTTGCAAAACCGACCGAATAACCGATGATTTTATTTTAATTTATTTTTATTTTTTAACATAAGAAAATATTTGATTAACACACATGTTTTCTTCTTGTTGTTGTTGTTGCTTTCTTCGTACTTTTTCATGAAAAACTTGATTGTTTCACTTTTAAAAAAATTATTTGCTAATGTTTTGAGCATATTAATAAGAAAAGTGCAATTTTTATATGAAATTGATAGTGTATATTTAAATAAAAATTAATCTACCTTACTAAATTAATGACAATAGAAAAGTTTTAATCTAAACTAATTTAATACGTATCAATCTACCTTGCCGAATTAGTTTCTTGAATTTATATTAAAAAGTCAAAACAAAAGTATTTAAAATTCAGTTTTTCGATCGGTTTTTTGTTGTACAGGCGGTTTTTGGTTTGGATTCAGCCAGTTTTATTTTTTGATCGGTTTGGTTCGGTCGGTTTTCAACCAATGCTTCCCTACCAACAAGGCAGCAATGTACTCACCTGATCTCAATTGTCAGTGAGATGAGATTGCCCCGATCCAAAAAGAAGGAATACGGCATCAATGTCGGCGAAGAGAAACCACAGCGACGACGATGATGACGACATCTTTTACTACCGCTACGCCTCAGGATCTCTACCGCCTTCAACCTCCTCCTCCAAAACCCTAACCACCGCTTCAACCACCTCGCGCGGCGGCAGCGGCCGCCTAGCGCCATCTAAGTCCACAGTCTATGTCAGCAACCTAGATTTCTCCCTCACCAATTCCGACATCCACACTATATTCTCCACCTTCGGCAAGGTCGCCAAGGTCACCGTTCTCAAGGATCGGGATACCAGGAGAAGTCGAGGAGTTGCTTTCGTCCTCTTCGTTTCCCGGGAGGATGCCATCAAAGCTGTTAAAGGGATTGACAAAAAGCTCCTCAACGCCCGGACTTTGTCCGCCTCAATTGCGTCTGATAACGGCCGGGCAGCAGAGTTTATCCGGCGGAAGGTGTACACGGACAAGAGTAGGTGCTACGAATGCGGCCTGGAGGGGCACTTGTCTTATGAATGCCCGAAGAATCAGCTTGGTCGCAGGGAAAGGCCTGAGCCATCAAAGAAAGGGCGGAGGAGAGGTGGGGCTGACGGTAAGGATAACCTTGATGGGCTGGGTTGGGGACGAGAGGACGAGGAAGGGGAAGACGAGGAAGAGGATAGAGGAGATGGTTTTGAGGAGGAGAATTGGGCTTCCGCTGTCGATGGAGATGCAGGGGAGAGATTACTAAATGGAGGAGGAGACACTGAGGAAAAGAAGAAATTGAAAAGAGAGAAGAGAAGAGGATATTTTAGCGACGAGAGCGAAGAGGAAGACTGATTTTTTCGCTCACCAAGGAGTGTAGATTGTTATATCTGATTAGCTGTTGGATTAGAGGGGGAAGGTCTCACAGGAAAGGTATGAACTTTATCTATTGAGATTTGTTTCATCATACACATCTTTTATCTGATTATGTTGTATTTGTTTTGAAGTTGACTTGATATAATGGTTTGTGGTTACCAATGATTTTTTTTACCTAGATGATAGAGTATGCTACATTTGCACTCACATTTTCTGTGATTCTGCTAGTCTAGTTGTATCACCCCACAGTTGTTGTAACCTCATCCAAGCCAAAGAAACTCAAAATATCTCACATATTTACTCTTGAGTAAATATGACAAGATGTATGCATACTTACCTCTACCACAAGTCATGTAGATGCTGCGTACAATACAATGACTGCACAAGTTTAACACGACCGCCTCAAGAACTCCTATCATAGACTTAGAGTTCATGTACTCTGAGAGGTTTAAGATTGACAAGTCTATCCCTAAAGCTTATCCCGTGTCATGTGTGGCCTGCTTTCCCTAATCCCTCCTAGTCTCCTCAACCAAAAAGCTCTCTACCCTCCTCTACGGCGGATGTGACCAAACCGTCAAGACTTATACCTGCTCTTACTTTACTAGTAATAGGCATTACCCCTAGCTAAGAACGGAATAACGCATTTAGTATTATATAACCTCAGCCATCTCAATCAAATCACATCCTTAACAAACAAGCCATTAGTAGCAAGCAAGACTCCAAGGTAGCACAAATCGACATTTAAGCCATCTTACATGGCCAAGAAAGTTGGGTGGTATCACATATTCCATCAAAATTTAGAAAAAGAAGGTTGAGTTGAGTGGTAAGATTCTAAGTTATCAATGATAATTTGAACCAAACATATGGAAAGCATATATGTATACCCCAATCATAAAAGCTTCATTTTCCCCATCAGATTTAGTGTGTAAAAGTCAACATCTCTTTTTTGTTTATTTTATTTTACAATAATGCGGAATGAGATGCCCCCTTTTTTATTATAGAGAAATGCCTCCATCGAACATCCATAGTTTGAAGAAAGAAACAAAAGGATAACTCAAATCTAGCTCAATCTTGATTTGCTCGCCACGACTCAAATCTAGCTCAATCTCAAATGCCTGGTAAGGATGTCGAAGCAACCGAGTTTAGTCCATAGCAAAATGACCATTGTGACCGTAGCCGTAGTTGGTTTACGAACTGTTGCGGACCCCATGGTCCCGTTTGGTCTAGAACTGTAAGCACCTACTAACCAATTGTGCCACTTGGTCAATAAATAAACTTGACCGAAGCAAGAAGACCAATGGCTCTGTTCGGTCCAGTTTTATGACCGTTGCAGCCATAGCCGTGATCAGTCCAAGGAATTGACCGGAATGATTGTAGCCATTTTCGGTTTGGGTGGGGTGACCGTCAGTCGATCCATACGATCCATAAGAGATGACCTGTAACACCCTAAAATATACCCTAGAATTTTATGATGAAATTCTGATAAATTATAATACTAATTTTGATTTAAATTTTAAATAAAACGAAATGACAGTGCTAAACGTAAGTGATTTTCAAAGTTATCTTTTTATAGTTAAGTTTATACTCAAATTGAAGGTCTCGATTAGATGAGTTCAACGGTATATTCCGCGCGTGAATCTGAGGTACGAAACTTAGTGACTTCACTGCCCCAAGATTTAAAAAGATAATAAAGTAAAAGAATAAAATACAAGCATGTCGTAGAGACAATTATTATATATTCAATTTTGGGCCGTTGGGTAGGTTTCATGAAAAGATGACCAACAACATATAGTTTGTCGAGTTTGGACTTACGTGTGAAAAGTTTTGAATGCAATAGACGTTATAGTTTATTTCATAAATAAAAAAGTTTTATAATATAATAATTATAATAAATAAACAAAAACGTTACTTTCCAACTTCTGTCTCTAATAGCGTAGGATTTTCTAACCCAATTAGAAAACCCACCCATCAAATCCATATATACTCCGGGGTCTGTATTATAAGGGAGTGTTGCCCTGCTTCTACATCGCCGTTCAAACATCAGTTTCTTCTTTGTTGTGTACGGCCACGACGTCCACACAAAGGAGATTGCTGAGAGTTTCACCGGAGAGACTCTATGTTGATTCATTTTGTGTTTTCTTCATCAATTAAACCGAGGTGAGTCGTGTTTTATCCCTCGTTAGAATTGATTTGTTGATTAGGATTGATTGATATATCTTTGTTCAATTGATTTAGAATTTGTGATTATGATTATTGTATCGTTCAATTGATTGTGTAAGAATATGGAATTGAATTTGTGAAACTTTGGTTGGGATTTGGGTTACCGCTGCACCGTACCTCCGTCTCTGCCCTCTCTTCTTCTTCCCATCTCCTCTTTGTCTTCTCCATTGCTGTTGTTTGGAATAGCCACCGAGGATTTCCGCTGCCTATTACCACGCCACCTCCCGCTGTTGGGTCATGCTCCAAGTTACGTCGTTGTTTGGTGAGTTATTGGTCGAAAGAGGCAGGGGTGGGCAAGAGACAGTTCGTGTTTTATACCGTCCCGCGTTTTGTCCCGTTTTTTTCAAATGGACAAGCTTATCCCTCTTGTTCCCTTAGTATTCGGGATTAGAGTAAAACAGAACGGGTTAGGGTTGTCCTGTTTTGTCATTATCCGAAATTAGATATAAAAATATAAATACATAAGGGGGAGGGAACTCACTTTGACTTGCAAAATAATGAAAAAATGATATATTTATTTAGAATATTTTAGAAAATAAAAAATAATAAGGAAATGTGAAAAATGTTACAACATACATCAAAAGTAAAGACTATAAACTTCATAAAAATTATGAGCCACAAATTGGGGTGGGTCGAGTTAGAATAGTATGGTTTTCGGTGTTCTGGTCCTAGTCTATTTTTTTAGAATAATTGAATCCAGATATTTTAATATCTATATTGGGAAAACTAAAAATTGTTATATTTTTTGTGTTATATCATTATATAGATAAATAAATATATACATATATACGGGACAACGAGACGGAACGAGAAAATATTTATGTGTCCGGTCCTATCTCATTTTATAACGGTTCGGAATGGTTTCGGGACAAATTTTATCATTCCTAACAAAACGAGACATTATAGAGACGGGATTGGGATATTTTGGGTTGGAAAAACGGTTTTGGGATTCTTGCCTACCCCTAGAAGGAGGAGTAAGATGTGGACTCCCAATTTAAAAAAATAGAAAACTAAGATCAGTTTTTAAATTGCATCTTACTACTATATTCTCAAGTTGTTAGGAATTTAGACCTTTTAGTGTACTTTGACTCTGGAATTAAAATGGAAAGATGAAAAGAACTTTGAAAAAAGAGCCTAAGAGTGCTTGAAATTGTAGATCTACCCAAATTTACCAACCTAATGAGACTGAAAAAATTAAGTTCCATTTTCTAATCCAATTTAATAAGTCTTATTGCATTATAGAATTTATTGGTCATAAATATGTGTTGGGCAGCAATTGTGAGGTAGGCCACCTAATAGTATTATGCGGATCTAAATTGAATTGATAAGAGTGTTGGAAACACCAGTAAGTTGAGATTTAGGATTTAGGCCTGGTGGGGCGAGCTTCACATAACTCGCAGATCTTGGGTTAAAAATTTACGTATGGGAGTCCGGGACCTGTTTGGCGGTGTCAAACCGGGTCTCCAACCCGCCTAGGGGTGGGCGTGAAATCCGTGCTCGTTGGATCATTTTGAAAAATTCCAGATCCGTTTTGTAATTTTACCAATATATTGGGACACATTTTTTTTTATCTCGAACCCGTTTCGTCCCAATATCAAATGGACATGAGCGGGACAGCTTAAATTTATACCGATCCGTCTCGTTTCTCCCGTTTCATCTACTCTACTAATATATAATACTAAAACTAGTCCAAAATCCAAATAAACTCATTCTTTAATTAATTAGTTATTTAATTAAGTTAACTTCATAGGCTTAAAATTTATTTGGACCTGTTTCACTCATTGTTTTTTGTTGGATGACTAGATGTTTCTTTTTTGAATGAAATGTCACCCTCTCCCCCTTCTTATATATTTGCGATTAGGACAAAGCAGGACGACCCGAATCCGTCCCGATTTATTCCGATCCCGAATTTTATGGGACAAATCGGGATAAGATTGTAATCCAAACCGTTCCGGACCGTTTATATATAATGGGACAAGACGTGGGACAACCTAAAATCTGGACCGTTCCGATCCGTGCCCACCCCTAAACCCGCCTAATAGAAGTTCTCTGTGATTTCGAAAGTGGTTTCAGGCAGTGCTTGAATGTCCACGACTCTAGTCTAATGTAGTTAAATCTTACCCTAGTAGGTTAAGTGTAGGAAAATAAATAAGATATGAACTGAAATAAATGAATAATTGATCATGATATTCAATGATGATATTCACTGATTATTCAGATATTGTGTGATTATATATATATGAATGTTAATCTGTGAATTAGATCTAGCATTAGATACTTCCACGCTCAATTACTACATGCAGGTAGGGATCAAGGTTTGGATGAGCATGAAGGTCAGTGAGGCGTGATGCTGGTGGATGGTCGAAGCTGTTCGTTTTAATTTAAGTATTTTGTTGAATTTATTTACTTATATTACAAGAATGTTGAATATTGTTTTGAAAGGCTTTCGCAATGCGTTAAATTTATTTTACTCCGATTAGATTATAATTTGTTTATAATAAACATGAATGGTTGTTTTATTTTAAATGTTCTTAAAATATTATGCATGTGAATGAATATCAATATATTAGCAACTCGATTCGCTAACTTGTTAATTCGAGTTATGCGAGTTGATGTGTTACTTGACCGGCATGGCCGAAGACGTTTTCGATCCAATAAAAGAAGTGACCAGAGTGGACACTATAGTTGCACACTCGCGCTCGGTCCACCGAAGGCGAGGATCAGAGAGGACCTCACGGTTGCACTCGATCCAAAAGGAACAATTATCTGGGTGGTCTGCCCAACAGAGCCTGGGAGCCACCCAATATAGTCGAAGCGTTCACAACCAGAGTCTTGGAATTACTCCCGTTTCCGATGTGAGCGTCAAAATTGAAATCGTCAATACCGGCCACGTGCACGGATATGTGTACTACTTTAAGATTGCTATAATTCTCGTATGGATTACAACATACGAGGAAGATGAGACGAAAATTGTATTAAATAAAATTTTGAACCAAAACAGTAGCGAGGTCACTCGTTGCTGCTCTAATGAGTAGGGGCAAGGTCACTAGAGCAGTAACGAGGGCAATATGACTAGAACCAAAACACCAGCGAGGATATTACGGCCTAACAGAATGCAACGAGGTTACTATGAACTGAACCTGCAAAAACAAACATCGTCGAAGGACAGCGGAGTCGCCGAAATTGTCCTTAAAATAGTAGTGCCCCTTATCATACTGGAAAAACGTGGGTACTCTCCGCCTACGATAAAACCGTTATCATTTGTGGTGGTAGTATAGACCAACCACACACCAATGAACAAGAACAACGTCAGAACATTGGCTACCAAAAACTTGAATGGGATCGTTGGAAATTTGGTTGGAAAACCAAAAGCTCTCTCTAAAAATAAGGAAGAAAGGTTTATTTATTTATTTCTTTTCCTTTCTTACGTGCAGATCACCTCTCAAGAGTGGAAATGCTCGCATATATTTTAATAGGCAAAAAAGTAATGCTAGAATTACAAACAAAACACTCGTAAAATGCACAAAATTTCCATTTGTATATTTATGTTTTTATTTCATAATTATTTGAGACCATTATTTGAAACTATTACTTTACATCTTTGGTAAGTTTGTGTAATTTGTGAATGTTTTGTTTGTGATTCTAATATTACTCTAGGCAAAAATCAACTGCAACCTATGCATTGAGTGCCCAATAATACCATTAGTGGTGTAATAAGTATCCATCACATTCTTTGAACTATTAGTGACATATTAATGTCTCACCATTAACATGGAGTTTAGACACATTTATGTTTAAAATTTATTTCGTTTAATTTGAGATTAATGACCATGTTGGATTATGGAATCCAAGGGTAGAGGAAGAAGGAGAAAATGTGTGAGAAGAAGAATAAGGATGAAGAAGATGAATAGTGTAGCCTCCTCCCCCCCCCCCCCTTTCCTCTTCCAAGAAGAGGGTATAAATAAGGAGAATCAGGGCTAGGGTTTCGGACTAATGGGCCGGCCCAACAGACTGGGCCGCCCTTAAATAAATAATCAACATACAACTAACGGGTCGGTCTAACAGACTGGACCGCCCCGACTAATATTATACAAAGACCGGGTACCCCTTGTCCGGGGTATCCATCATGAGTCCCCCACTTCCAGAATCGAGAGCAACTCGAGGTGAAGTGGAAGTAGAACAACAATCCGCCACGTAAGGACACCGTCTTCCTTGCTCTCTAAAGTGCACCGCCAACTCGCTGTCCTGAGCACGATGAAGTAAGGCAAGCAACGCCATCAGTCTGAAAATGTAATGCCAACTCGCTGTCCAGAGTAAGGCGAGGTGAAAGAATCTACACCCATGGATACGAGGTGCATTGCCGACTCACTGTCCGGAGCGACAATGGGAAGGAAGTAGTAGCAAATAGCAATCATCATGAAGTGCACTGCCAACTCGCTGTCCGGAGTGGCAAAATGAAAGAAATCGTAGCAATGTGCATGAAAGGCGATGCCAACTCGCTGTCAAGAGTGGCAAATGGAAAAAGTCTGCCTCAATCTGCTCATTGTCTTTAAATGATCTGCTCTCGTACAGAGTACATCGTCCGTTCGCTGTTCAGCACACAATGATCACAATAAGAGTGGGTGATGGAGTCGTCATCTGAAGTCCATTTGTCATCTTCGAACATCCTCCCATAATCCCGTCAATGTGTGACCCACTCCGCGGGGGATGCCTCATTTAAAACTTGCCGAGGAAAAAACCCATGAGGATGGGAACAAATCCTCAACAAAGAAAAGAGTACATCTCGACCCATAGAGTGGATCAAGAAAACATTGCTGGGTGTGAGGTCTTCTGTGTGAATCTCAGAAGAGGTGATCTTCAAGTCCCCCGGACTCGTTGTCTGGAGTTGCGGGTTGTTCGACATAATGTATTGCTAACGAGTGCAGGTGCACGCGTATTGTTGCAATATTAATACGAGGTCAGGATGTCGATCACGAAGCTCTCCTGTAGCAATTACGAGCCGAGCACCCGGAGTCCCCCACTCCCTAAGCCGAGGAAGAATTCCGAGGTGATGGGGAGTAGTGTCCATGCTCGGTGCCGACAGGAGTCTGTGGCCCCCTCACGAGCTTGAGTGCCTGAAGTCGAGCTCGAGTGGCTGAGGCCGAGCTTGAGTGGCTGAGGCCAAGCTTGAGTGGCTAGGCCGAGCTCGAGTGGCTGGGTCGAGCTCGAGTGGCTCACGCGGTGACTGAGGCCGAGCCTGGCATTCTCATCCTTCTAACCTGCAGAATAAGTTCAAAAAAGAATACAATGCGCTCGCGGGCTCGGGCGGACCGATGACCACGCGGCTGAGATAGGTAAGTCAACGTATGAGTTGAGTCCAAAGTTTTGGACAAAAGATAGGCCTTATCAGCGAAGTGCGCCGATCGTGTAGTAGTCTGGTCTAAAACAAACCTTGATGTCATCCTTAGAGATACTGGGGTCTTCAAATGAGAGTTACTCGGGTAAGTGAGATAGGCACAAAGGATGCACCCCTCGCCTTAGATCCGAGAGCAAAAAGTTCACATCGTGGATGACGGATATATAGGAGTGCGTCGAGATGGACGGCTTACCTCGGCCTCGCGAATAATATCGTCGCGAACGATTTGGAGCACCTCGCGGGGAGGGCTTACCTCAGCCTCGTAGAAGAGGAAATAAAATCGCGTCGTGGAAGACGGATGGGAGTGCGTCGCGGCGGACGTCTTACCTCGGCCTCGTGGAAGAGGAAATGAGATCGCGTCGTGGAAGACGGATGGGAGTGCATCGTGGTGGACGGCTTGCCTCGGCCTCGCGATAATATTGTCGCGGACGATCTTCAACACCTCGTAGAGAGGTTTCACCCGGCCTCGCTAAGGAATGAACAAATGTGCTGGATTTGAGCCATGCCATGAGGCAGGTTGTTGGCCTGTGTGGGGTGTTAGATTAACACCTATCCCACATCAGGGCTTAAAGTGTTGAACACAAAGTGTAATACCATCGTCCAAGTGAGGTCCGATCACATGTGGTGGACAAGGTAATGGTAATAATAATAGAGTAAATGATAGCAATGATGATATTGATAATATGGTAAAATAATAAATACGGGATACTCAAAATAATAGTGTAAGGAGTTAGGACACTTATCTTTTTCTTTAGTGCATTGAAAGCTTCCCCGACACAGGATCTGCAGCCCAGATCCAAAGAATGACCAGAACCTCCCCGGTCTCAAACACTTGGTTGGTGAAATTCACGAAGGCGGAGAAGCTGCCCTCTTGAGTTTCTACCGGGCTCGCTGCCGAGAATGCGCTGTGTAATGGGGAGTCCCGCTGGTCATTGCAGGTCGAAGGGAGAAGGGGAGAATATCCTATTGGGCGGCCAGAGCCTTTGCTTCCTCCGCAGCTGCTGACCGCCGAAATGATATAATCTGGATTATGGGATAAGTATCCAGGCCCGGACCTCAGATCGGAGCACTCAAAGCTGGCATCTAGACCTGCAATTTGCTTCTTCCCGTGAAACTTGCGTATCCCAAAATTTGGGCATCCACTACTTCACCTAAAAATAGACCTGAAATAATATGCTCCCTGCTATCCATGGCATCAAGCCTGCGCTTCCCGAACCAAACCCGCCGGAAATGGTGGCGGTTCATGGAACTTTGTCGGAACTGGAGCTGTCACATCGCCGCCAGAGCTCGTCGCTGCTCTAGAGCCCCTAGTCTTCGTTGTTGGCCGCGCAGAGGAGGGATGCCGTGCAGCTCATCCCGTCCGTACGGTGGCCGCGCTGGTGGACCGTCACCGGCTAGAGCAAGGGACAAATGCTAGTTAGTGGTCGTCAATAGGGTCCTGGGACAACGGATCTGTAGCAGATATGCCCTCCTCGCTACCTCTGACCCCACCCACCGGCAGGAGTCACTCGGCCAACGGCGGTGCTGTGAAATCCGGCCGGAGATGGGTGGCACATCCAAGATTTGCGGTTGACTGATGCCAATTTCCGGAGCAGCCGAAGCCGTCGGAACGCCTCTGGGTGTCGTCGACAGTGAGCAGGGCTTCACAGGGCCGGGTCGTCCAGAGCAGCCAAAGCCGTTGGAACGCCGCTGGGCGTCATCGATGGTGAACAGAGCTTCACTGAGTTTGTAGTAGAGCCAATGTTGTTGCTGAGGATGCGGAAAGAATTTGGAAAAAATTCTTCTTTTTAATCGAAGAAAAACACGAATGGAAAAGAAGTGTGTTTGCTTCAGTGTGGACTGTCGATTAAAGCTCCACCGATAGTCACCATTGTCTGGAAAATGAAAAAGGTATTGAAGGAAAATTGAAGAGAGCACGCTTGATGTGTTCGACACTCTCAATGAGAGCACCATTGTTGGATTATGGAATACAAGGGTAGATGAAGAAGGAGAAAATGTGTAAGAAGAAAAAGAATAAGGATGAAGAAGATGAATAGTGTAGCCTCCTTCTTTTCCCCCCTCCCTTTCCTCTTCCAAGAAGAGTGTATAAATAAGGAGAACCAGGGCTAGAGTTTCGGAGTAATGGGCCGGCCCAACAGACTGGGCCGCCCTTAAATAAATAATCAACATACAACTAATGGGTCGG